GAAGTTACCACATGGATGTGTCTTGTGTCTCACAAATAAGTTGAGCAAAAGAAGCAAAACAAATATTCTCTACATATGAATTTTAAAAACAAGTTAGGGATGCAAATATAGGTGAAATAACTATAAAGAAAAACAAATGATTATAACAAAAATCAAGTAGTGGTTTCTTCTGGAGGAAGAGGTTATGATTTGGAAGAAGGTATCAAGTACTGGCAACATTCCATTTCTTTTCTTTTTTTTTGAGACAGAGTCTCACTATATCGCCCTTGGTAGAGTGCCATGGTGTCACAGCTCACAGCAACCTCAAACTCTTGGGCCTAAGTGATTCTCTTGCCTGAGCCTCACAAGTAGCTAGGATTATAGGCGCCCACCATAACACCTAGTTATTCTTTTGTTGCAGTTGTCATTGTTGTTTAGCTGGCCTGGGCTGGGTTCAAACCTGCCAGCCTGGGTGTATGTGGCTGGCACCCTACCCACTGAGCTGGCTACCGCAATGTTCCATTTCTTTTTTCTTTCTTTCTTTTTTTTTTTTTTTTTGAGAACAGAGTCTCTCTCACTCTGTCACCCTGGATAGGCTTCATCATAGCTCACAGCAATCTCAAACTTGGGGGCTCAAGCAATCCTCCTGCCTCAGCCTACTGAGTAGCTAGCTGGGGCTACAGGAGCCTGCTATAATGCCTGGCTAGTTTTAGAGATCATATCTTGCTCTTGCGCGGGCTGGTCTCAAACTCCTGAGCTCAAGCAATCCAGCCACCTTGGCTTCCCAGAGTACTAGGATTACAGGTGTGAGCCACCGTGCCCAGCCAATGTTCCATTTCTTGACAGAATAGTAACTACATCTGTCTTTCCCTCGTAAGATGACCACTCAAGGAACAGTAACAAATTAGCCAACATATGGAGGTGGTCAACATAAGGAACCAGGACTACTATACTAATAATGTATATGTTGTGCATGTCCAGTCTATGAAAATTACATCAATTTAAGGAGGTATTCAACGTAGAGAAGAGTCAACTACAGAGGTTCTACTGAATTTGTTCAACTATTATTTGTGAGGTTTTCCCCTGCATGGATATATCTGTTATATTTCATGTTAGAAAAATTTTAAAACAAAGACAATAACATAAATATACTGATCATCTGACTCTTAGAAAAATTGAGAGAACTAAAATCCTTCATTTATAAGTTATAACCTTGTCCCACCTCCTACACCCCCATCCCCTGCCAAAAATTCCTAGCAGAATATCTACTTCTCTTAGGACAAAGTCTCCTGGGAACAGATCTATGCTTTGCCCAGAGTCCCTCAAGGACCCCTCTTCATATGGAAAAGTAAAGTGAGTACATATCCAAAGTCCGAGAGGTAGTATCTTATTGACGGCTATAATTCCAAAGAGTCCTAGTCAGGCAGAACCCCAGAGAGGTTGTGGAATCAACTTGCCAAAGGGACCTGGGTTGGGAAGAGAAGGGACTAAGCCCCAAGCCCTGATAAAAGGTTTGGAAATAGGGAGATCTCAAGGTTGCTAGCAGGCAATGGCCCCATATGCCCTAAAAGGGAACTCCCCAAAGAACTAAGGTAAGCCAGCCTGGTGTCAGGCTCAACACAAGGCCCCAGAGTGAGGTGCTTTGGAGAGAATGGCTAAGCACGTGAGCATAAACTAAAAAAGTCTAACCTTCGAATCCAAGCATGGGATCACACTGGCAGGGATCTGGTCCAATAAGGGCGTTGAGCAGCAGTGACCACACATCCTTGGACCGTGCAGGACAGCTCTTCAAAAGTGATACCATATAGCTGTGTCAGAAATAACAATGTGGGTGGACTGCTCAGACACTGCAGTGCTCTCTGCTCTAGAATGTGATAATAAAAAAACGACCCTTTGTACTGTGTAAGCCCCTAGGAGGCTTAAAAAGGGGAAATTTTGGAATTCTCTCACTAATGGCATTAGGATGCTTAGGAGTTTACTTGGAAAAAATAAAGAAATATGTGACGGCATTTGAACCCAACTTGTGAAATGAGACGTACAAGTTAAAAACATGTAAACTAAAATAAATAAACTCTTAACTGCCTTTCTGTGTACATACCCTTATGCATATGATATCAAATACTTTAATGAGTAGAAAACTAATTATCACTAAGCTAACAGAAAGAGGGTAATGAGAAATTAGCAGACATTTCAAACAAAACCTATGCAACTAAAAGAATAAAATGCTTTTTTTTTTTTTTTTTTTTGTAGAGACAGAGTCTCACTTTTTCGCCCTCGGTAGAGTGCAGCGGAGTTGCTCTAGCAACCTCCAACTCCTGGGCTTAGGCGATTCTTCTGCCTCAGCCTCCCGAGTAGCTGGGACTACAGGCGCCCGCCACAACACCTGGCTATTTTTTGTTGCAGGTTTGGCCGGGGCTGGGTTTGAACCCGCCACCCTCGGTATATGGGGCCGGCGCCTTACTCACTGAGCCACAGGCGCCTCCCTAAAATGCTTCTTGTACCATCTATTATTACTATGTGTCTGAAGCAATAAAAAGAACTTGTTTTTTTCCACAACTTCCTTAAAAAGCATGTGGTCTTATTTGCCCAGGACATCCTTCCCACCTTTGTGAGCTCTTGCTGACTCCCCACCTACACCTTTATCAGAGTCCTCACTGATTTTCCCCTTGCATATGGAAACCCCTTAGTTTTATTCCCTCAAAGATTTTGAAGTGCCAGAATCTATATATGTTTTTATTTGTTTCTACTTACTCTCACTTGTCTTGACCCTGCTGCCAGTGAATGTTTATTGAAGGAAAGAGAAAAAGGAGGGGGGAAGGGATAGTAAACTGCACTGCAACTGGGGGGAAAAAAAAGCAAAACAGATAACAGAAACCCTCAGTGAACTGATGACTGCTTGACCACATATTGCTTAACAGTTACTTGTTCTATCATAAAAATACAATCCCCTGATAACCATGGAAACCAAGATGAAGGCACTGTGTGGTGAAGGCTGCTCTTTTTTAGAAATCTAAAAACAATAAGAGGCCTGAAACCAGAAAGACAAAGAAATCCAAGTACTCTGGGCCAGAAGGAAATCCTTTCCTAAAAGCCCTGACAAAGCAGCATTTTCTCCAGTCTCCAAAATACCACCAGGTTTCAACAAGGGCTCTGAAACTGCTGCGAGGAGCCAAGAAACAATTCTGGCCTCTCTGTGTGCGTCTGTCCCTTGGGGCAAGCTGCTATAAGGCAAGTTCACTGGGAGATAAAACTTACTGTGATTATAAAATGTACTGAGAACTGGCAGAGGGAGATATATATATATATATATATATATCTGGATACACACACATACACTCTTACATGTATGTATTATATAATCTCAAACTCATAGCTAGCAATGGAAAAAGCCCTTGGAGATGGAGTCTGTCTTATTCATAGCCCTATCTCCAGCTCCTTGTAGGTGTACAAGTACACAGTAGGTGTTCATAAATACTTGCTGAGTAAATTAAGAATTAGAACTTAGAAAATACACAGTGCTTGGTAAATGGTCCATTCTCTCCAGTACTCAGTATCCTGAGCAAAATCAAAGTCCTGTCCTGGGTCCGGTTTCTCTATTTGCAAAAGGAGACAGCTGGATTAGATGGTTTCCCAGGCATCCTCCAGCTCTGGCAATCAATCACCCTACTGTGATTTTTTTTGGTGTTAGCACATGCCTGGCACTTTTCTTTTCCCTCAGAAGGAATCTGATATCCATCTGCTCAAGTAAATTAATGTTCCCATCCAGCCTGACTCACTTGGTAGGAACAACAGGTTCACATGCCAATTACAAAAGAGGAGGCAAGGAGGGCCCAGAGTGAGAAGAGGGGAAGGGTCTACAAACCCAAACAGCGCCACTATTAGGACTAAAAATAAAACTGAAATGTGATTGTTCTAATAAAAACCTCTTGGGTGGTGTACTTTAGCTTACTAATTTAATAATGCTGATATTAACAGCACTAGCTGTTGAGCCTTCTGGGCCCCGACACTGTGCTAAGTCCTTTACACTTAATTCTGACAGCAACCTATGAGCTAAGTACTATTATTACCTCCTTTGTATAGGTGAGGTATCCATCTAGCTCAAGGTCACACAGCGAGTAAGTGGCAGAACTAGGACTTGAACCCAGGGCTGCCCAACTACAGGGTTCTGCCTCTTCAAATGTCTTTCCCCTGTATTCCTAAAACGAAGGCAGGGCAGGGGTTACCATTTTTTGTTAAAGATGGAGAAGCCCAGTCTCCGAGAGGATTGCGATTTGCACAAAATAAAGCCCCAGACTTGCTCCTGAGTTCCTAGGTGAAGGCTCTTTCCTCTCCAAAAGTGGGCTTCTTCCTCTTCGACTTTACTTAACACACTCGCAAAACCTCAGGGCTGGAGAAAACCGCTAAGATGCGCCCTCCTGGCCTGGGGGTTTTACGGGAGGGGAAACCAAGTCACAGATTTTCCGTGCGGCTGATCCACCGGGTGCCAGGGCGGCCCGGGTCAGTCGCCCGGGGTCTTGGAGAGGCAGCCCCAAGCTCCCCGCCCCATCCCGCGGCCGTCCCCAGCTGCGGCACCCGGACACCCCGGGACGAGTAGTTCGCCGCCGCGTCGGCGAAACGGCCGCTTACCTCACAGGACGCTCTCCGGCACGCTCGCTCACCGCGGTGTCCCGGCCGCGGCCGCCGGTGCCCTGCGAGCCGCCCGCCACCCCAGCTGCTGGAGCCGCAGCGCAGCCTGTAGGATTGTGGCGCGCCCGCCCGGGGGCGGACAGCTGCCGGGGCTCGTGAGGCGCCGCCGCTATCACGTGACTCGCGAGGCGGGGGATGCCGGGAGCGGCGGGCGGGCCGGGGCTGAGCTTCCAGACCACCGCGCGGAAAAGGAATTTCTGCAGGGAGGGGACCAAGAGGAGACAGGGAGGGAGAAGCGAAGGGGGCGGGTAGGTCTTCGGGTACTGCAGGGCAATTCAGGCTTGCGATGCGTGGCCCCAGAGAGGCAGAAATAGAATCAGTGGGTGGAAATTGCAGGGAGGCATGCTGGGGCCAATGTAGTATAAAGAACATTTCTGCAAGTACCGGAGTTATCGAGAGTAATGAGCCGTTTCCGGATGGTAGGGAAGGGGTTGGGTTCATTCACTGAACAAACTGACCTCTGGCTATATACTGGGAGTAATAATAAATTAGTTATATGCATAGTGCTTAGTTAGCATGCTTGCCACATAGTAAATGCTGTGTTAGTTGTTGCTGCTATTATAAGCATAAAGTGAACAAAACCAATATGCTTCCTGTTCTCCTAAAATTAGTTCTCTAGTGGAGAAGGTAGAACATTCAAATTACTGTGCATTTAAAATGGTAAATGCACGGAAGGAACCTTCATTTAAAATTAGGGTACATGGGAGGGTGGTCAGGTAAGACTTTTCAGAGGAAGGTAAAGAGCCAAATGAAAGAGGGGTAGGGAAAGCCCCCGTGAAAACTGTTGGGTTTAAGTGGGATGGGCAGATGGGAAATGTCCAATTTGTATGAGGCTTTTTGAGTTAAAGGGAGAACTATGTATGAAGTCAGGTAGGTAGGGACAAGGTCAGGTAGCTCTTAGGCCATGATGAAGATTTCTAAAATTGTACCTAAAAGGAAGGTTGAAGGGTGGGGGAGATTCAATACCTTTTAAAACAGTTAAGTCGTAGATGAGAAGTAAGAGTGGAAGCAGAGATTGCTTAATAAGACTTGGACTGGACTCGGCGCCTGTGGCTCAATCGGCTAAGGCGCCAGCCACATACACTTAATTCTGACAGCAACCTATGAGCTAAGTACTATTATTACCTCCTTTGTATAGGTGAG